TCTGTATTGTGCTTGTGATATGTTGTAAAATGTTGTATGTCTGTTAATGTTTCCCTCCTTTTATCTTTAAAATAAAAAAAAAAAAGAAAAGAAAATTGAGAGCAGGGGTAAGTTACAGAGCTCCTCTGAAAAAACGAGTCTCAGAAAACTTATCTATACTTGAGATGCAACATTTTGACTACATTACCTTTAATTAGCTATCACAATTACTTTTAGTAAAGGCTTTGTTTTGAGTTAAAATAGATCCATTTACTCATGTATTTTATTAGCAAGTATTTTATAGGTCCTTCCTGTGTACCAATGTACCAAGCCATGTTCTAAAACCTGGCATAGCAAGGAAACATAAAGGACAATTTCCAACTTTGGCGGAGACAGAGCATTGATTCTGTCATACAGAATCAGTTCCAAAACAGTGCAGTCCCACTCAAGGGATCTAGAAAATGTAAATTTAAAGAGACTTGAACCAAGTATTAGCCACTGTTTTGACTTGGGTAACTTTCTCAAAGACATCAATTGGTGTAACTCGGCCATATACAAGAAATGCTTTCAGAAACATTGGCTGATCAGAAAAGAGAATTATTTATAACAAATCAAGGATTATTATTAGACAAAATAGAATATAATATGCTTCTACTACTTTCTTTTGCCACCTGGGATATTTTAAAAAGCCCAGCATCATTCAGCCATTGAGTCTCCAGACCAAGAAACATCTGGACAGCATCTTAGCTGGCACACGCTGGTTACTTGTTGCTTTGAGCATTGAAATCACATTAGTATTTCTGATGGGCTTGAACATGTAGTGACATTATTCAAGATATTGCCTTTTGTTTTGTTTTGTTTTTAGTTATTTTTAAGGCAGTGTCTGCATCTTGCTCTGCAGTTCAGGCTGGTCTTGGACTCACTATGTAGACCAGGCTGGCCTTGAACTCATGGCAATCCTCCTGCCTCAGCAGCCTCCAAGTGCCAGGATTACAGTTATGTGGCACCACACCTGGCTGCATTTTAAAACTAAGTCATTGCTTTCCCATTCTGCCCTTGTTTCCAAGAGATAACAAGTTCGTGGGAATTTCTACTTATCCAAAAGGCATCCATAATGATATAGAGAATCATGATGCCCTTTTCCTCTGCAGGGTTTTTTTTTCATTGACGGGTAGCAGACTGTGAATTTCCTTTCATCAGTCACTTTGATTCCTTGTTAGTGAGTGGGAGCAAGAATGAATAAATAAGCAGTAAAAATTTTATTTTGGCCTCTCTTGGGTCATGAATTTTAACTGGCCAACTCAGAATATCTCCTTTTCTGCTACGGTATCAATGGCCACATTTCACATTACCTCAGTCAGGAAACAACACACGGTAACTTGGAAGAATTTAAGAACGCATTACAACAAGCACAGTACTCTGGCTTTTCTTCAGTTCGTACCAATCTTTCGCCTTTTACAACAAGCACAGACTGAGCCTCCAGGGTCTATCACACACAGAGTGTGAGAGTATTTGACTTTTCCTCTTTTGAGCAGCTTCACCAGTTGATGTTTGCTCACTCATTCAACTAGGAAGCAGACAGTAGAGACCTATTTCAATCTGCCTTTTAGGTTCTCATAGAACTGGGACAGTAAAAAATGACTTCTTGGGGCGAGAAGGGGTACTGTACCTGCATCTTACTTTGACTCCATGGCCAACTGCTGTTTCTGCGGATCTTTCTTTCTTGCTGAGCATATGGAACCCAGAGATTCACCCCTACATTCAACTCTGTCACATCCTGTGGTTTGTAGCTTCCAACTAGTTCATGTTCTTCATCTCATTCCCATCCCATGACGTGGTAAAATCTCTTTTTTTTTTTTAGGTACTGGGAATCAAACTCAGGACCTCACACTTGCCAGGCAGGAGCTTGTGCTGCTAAGCTACATCTCCAGCTCTGACATGGTAAAATCTTTCCACCTCACTACCAGAAAGGCAAATCAACCAAGGCTACCGCCTCACCAGTGTGATGCTTTTGCCTGTGATCCTTCCCGGTTGCCTAACAAATGAAACACATTTGCAGTGCTTTCACTGACACTATCTCCCCAGCACCTACCTCAGTGTTGGAAACATAGTAAGTGCTCGATGAGCATTTGTCATATGGATCTGAGGCCTGTGCTTCCTTGGCCAGGCTCTTGCCTACCTCCCCAGCCCTTTGCCAGTTTGTCCCCCAGTCCCACAGGCCATATAGATCTAGTAACCGCTCCCCCGAGCTTCCTGCACTCTTGCCATGCAGCACTGGCGGGGCCATTCCTTTGGCTGGGGATGCTGCACCTGCTCAGGATCTCACCCTGCCTTCTCTTAGCAAATCCATCTGGGAAAGGCTGACTCGTGGTTCCCAGGAATATACTACCTCAGAAGCCATCTGAGCATGGCCTCGGGCCTCTGACCAACACACAAAATATTCATTTTTTTGTTTCTTTTACAGGACGAAAGCTCAAAGCTGACTTAAGATCAGAATACACCTGAGTTCACACTCAGGAGACTCAAGATGCATGGGGTTTGGGGCAACAGGCTTAGTACTTGGGCTGGGCTCTTAAGGGTGACTATGGTTTCACTCTCATTCACAGGTAAAATAAGCCTGAGATTCTAAAGGTTGCCTATTCATGTAGCTCAATAAAGTTGAAATTTTTGAAAAAGATCAATTATCCATTGTTTCTATGGGGAAGAGAGTGTTGGACTCATAAATTGGAAACTACCTAAATTTTACGGACAGTTAGTTCTTTCCTGCTTCTTCAAAAATGAACACTCGCTGGGGGTTGTCGCACATGCAGGTGATCTCAGCACTCCAGGCTGAGGCAGGAGGATCGCTGCCTGTTCGAGATTGGGCGGGGCTACATAGTGAGTTCAAGACCAGCCTGAACTACATAGTGAGACCCTGTCTCAAAACACTAACAAACAAGCAAACCCAAACTCTTTGCCAAACCCCATTTACTATGCTTTCCTTTCTTTCTTAAACAAGCATAGACACTGTTTTGGGACTGGGGCTGTAGCTCAGCGATAGACTGTGCACTCAGCACTGGTGAGGCTTTGGGTTTGATCCCCAGCATCACAAAGACAGAGAGAGAGAGAGAGACAGAGAGAGAGTCAGACAGACAGACAAATAGACATTTAGGCCACTGATACCCTATACTGGCGAAATAGTCAGCACACTCCTCAAGTGAGCGTGTGTGATTGAGGCTAGGTAAATGCCGTCATTCAGGAAGGTGATTTGTAAGGTCCAAAGGTGGAAAACCTATCAGATCCACCCCCAATTGGCAGAGAATAGAATAATTTTGAGAAATGGTGAAGGCCAACATAAAAGTGACGAGAACTAAAGATGCCTCATGCTTCATACGCACATCTTCAAATATCATACAGTTTGTTAGCTCATTTAAAATACCTTTGAAGTGAGATGACGGTCTCTAAATATTTTATCACTAAGACGCTATAAGGTATCTGACACATATATTACCACATTTTCCATTTAATTACTGAGCAAATGCACAAGTTGAAAGGCTAAGATTTGCCATAAACCAGAACGATCGCGAGATTCTGGCGCGCAGGCCTGTGCTATCTTACTCAGGGCTTGCTAAACGTGGTTGCTGGATCACAGGCACAGACTGACTTGAATGGAACTTTTCTGATTATTGTGGCACATGCAGAAACCATACAGGATCCAGTCCTGGCGCTGCAAACTTTTGAACACCATGTCTATAAAATCCTGTTGTCTTTTTAAATTTTCAGTAACTTTTTTTTTGCTATATTTATCGCATTTTCCAAAATATGAAAATGTTCTTTTTATTTTAAATGTTGACTAGATGTGAAAAATTAGCTCTGTTTCTATTACTTCAAACTATGCCTTTATTAGCAACAGTTGTGCGGTGCTGTCAAGAGGAATTTTTAATCTAAAGTGCCCAATTTAGAGAGCAGACACATCTGTTTTACTTTGCAGTTTGTTTTATTGTTTTATTTCTTAGAATATGAATTTGCAACTATCTTATAACTGAAGACTAAAGAAAAAACATATGTTGGTAAATCTGATTTCTGCATTTTTTTTTTCATTCAAGGGAAGTTGCCTCCCTCAGCTGTCTGCCAATGAGGAATAAATGGACTTGGCAAAAAGTTTATTTAAGTTGGCTTTATTAAGCCAACAAAATACAGAAATCAAGCAAGGGACAGGCAGAAAAATCTGTTCCTTTGAAGTCAATAAAAATCCATCTCCTTAATCCTTTTTTTATTCCAAGCAGTGGTGATTTTTCTCCACTGGCTCACTGAGAACCTTGATTTAGCTAATCTGTCTTGCTTAGTTATCTTTCTTCTCCAAAGCTCTGCTAAAGAAGCATCTTTCCTCTTGACAACTGTCATCCTTTATACTCGCATTGTGGTGCATCTGGTTATGAGCATGCTCTAGTTGGTCCTGATAGAGATTTTTAAAACAGGCTTTTAATTACTATCCATATTTTAGAAGAATAAACACAGCAGTAGGTAGCAAGCTGAAACAAACAGCACACAGTAACAACCAATGGCAGAAAGATGGCTAAAATCTGATCATATATTGTCCCTACACGATCTTTGCTAATCTTCTGTCATACATTTACTTGACTGTTGCTTATCTGCAATTATGGAAGAAAATCCAGGACACAAACTGAAAAAACTCCTTTTCCACACCCCAGCCCCACTGATAGGCTAAATCGTGCAGAAATACATAGGAAGACATATTCATGTTTGAAGATTTCGTGTTTGAAAAAAAGGCATTATCTTGACAGAGCAAAAGCATCACTACTGACTTCAAGACACTCAATACTTGGCCCCATTCAGAAATATTTGGTTGTACTTAGTATGCAAACAATATTTCTTACCTAAACTAAAGAGCACCAAGAACTTTAGACACACAAACTCTCGCTGATCAAGCTGCAGGGACCGAAGTTTTGCCACTAGCTCCTGTGCATGACTCATGAGGTTGTTGAGGGTGGCGCCAGCTTGTGATGCGATTATAGAATAGTCCACCTGCAACACAGAATTGTGATTATAACAACTAGTGTCAGAAACGGAGACACGCATTGCACATCGCTCCTGAGATTAAGAATCGTGGGGATGGTCAAGCTGTGACATAGACTTATAATAGAGGAGGGTTTCTTCTTGAAAGGCATTCCTGATACATCCTATTAACATATATGTACCACAATTATTCTGATAAACCTAATCATGTGATGAGTTCTGCAGGGAATGGGTTTTGATTGCTCAAATTTACAAATTCTACAAATTGTATATATACACATATATAGTTATGAAATTACACTGTCACAATACACATTTTTATTTCTCTAAATTACACTGATAGAAAAGATACTGTCCACGGAGAGAGAACGCAGGACATCATTCTGCATGTACACAATGACACTACATAGTACAGGAGGAACGTAAAGGCAGAGATACATTCCCATTGCGTTACGAGGCTACATTTGAACTCAATCATGGTGCAAGGGTTTGGGGATGGGCAAAGAATCACATTTTAAGCATTCTTTAGTGGGCTTCTTCCTTCAAAGCGATGATATAAAATTCCTTGTTTCTGGTGATTATCTCAGAGTCCATCAAATTAATACACCTCCTTCTAACGATAGCAAGGAGGTTATAAGAACAGTAAGAAAAGATTTAGTTTCCTATTTTAAAAAAAAAGTGCTGTAAGGCACCCATCTTAGGTTATTCATGGGGACGCAGAAGCTGCATTTATAATAATAAGTTAAGATGTCGGGGTGGCTGTCAGTGGCAGTACCGCTTTGCAGCTGCATTTACAACGTAATGGGAAAGCCCGGTTGGTACCTGACGCCCGCTGCCATCCTTATTTTCCTGGAGAGCTCTCAGGCAACCAGATACTCTTTCAGGTGCATTTAATATTTGCAGCAGCAGCAAATTTGTCTGGAAGGCAAGTCCTCATCTGCCACTCACCCAGAGCAGACTGTATTAAATTTTTATATTTATTGACATTTCATTACCATAATTGACTGTGCTCGAATCTCCGAGAGAAGGCACGGGGCTGCCTCCTAAGCAGGAGAACGAGTCCCCTGAGTAGAATTTGCAATTAAAAACGAGGCAGAATGGATTTTTTTTTATTGTGTAAATATGATGAGTTGAATTTTCAGCTTTAACTAGAGAATACGGGGTGTACAGAAACCTTTTTTGAGAGTGAGAAAAATTATGAGTCAGTGGAAAGACGACCCCCAAAGGTGTCAATCAGTTTACAGAAAGTCAACTGTGCATGAAAAAGCCACAGTTAATGTGCGTTCTAGGAGAGCTGCTGTGTCAGGCGCCACACTGTCCTACCGCTCTGTCCACCGGCAGGCTGCCATCTGCCCCCTAAGTTCAAACATCAAGCATTCTAAAAGTTCCTTCGGATTCTCTTGGAGAATGTGTGAAATGCTCAGAATGAGTGCCAGGCAGCCTGCACCCTGGGCTGGAAGACAAGACAGGCTGTCCCACTCTGCAGGGCCCAGTCGGAGCCCTTGTCCAGGGCTCAAGGTGACACTGGTCATCTTGCCAGCTCTTATACAGGGGAACCTGACACTTCAGGAAGGATGTTCTTACTTAAAAGTGGTGCCTAAACTCTGAATTCTTCAAAACTTGCCCAAGTCTTGCACTTCAGGTAATAATACAGCCTGACACCCCTAATTCAAAAACCTGAAATCCAAAATGCTCCAAAATCTCAACTTTTTGAAGAATGCCAATGGGACACCACAAGAAGGAAGACTCCACACCTGACCTCATGTGCCAGGTCACAGTCAGACCATAAACTCGCTAAAAAATACTGCGTAAAATCATCATCAGGCTATGTGCATAAAGCGTTCGGTATGAAACATCAACGAAATTTGTGTTTAAACTTTGGTCCCATGCCCAAGACCTCATTACGGATGTGCAAATATTCCAGAATCTAGAAAACACCTGAAATCCAAAATATTTCTAGTTTCCAGCATTTCAGATAAGAATAGGGAACCTGTGATACAGATTCCATACGGACAAATGGGCTTGATGAGTGAATGACAGACAACAAGAAGGCCTGAGAAGGGGGCCGTGGCCGATGAAACCTGGGTCAGGACAGACCTGACCAACGTGGCCCCTGGTGCACCAAAAAAAGGGTATGGGAAATTCAGATAGCACCTCTATCGCATGGTGTCATCTTTAAACAAGGCAGCTGAGCTAGATGAGGACAGTAAGGGGCTTCCTACTTCTGTGGCTACTAAGAAATAATCCTAGTCGGAATACTACTATCACCTTAAATTTAGGACCAGTTCAATACTCTGGGTATTAATAGGTAATAGTACATCTAAATAAAAATCACTAGGTAAACCCCAAAACCGGAAGACCATACTAAAATACAGCACAAATACATGGTATATTCATTAATTTGGTATTATTAAGTAAATAGCACAGTAGGGTGGCACGTGCCTATAATCCCAGCTACTGGGGAGGGTGAGGCAGGAGGGTGGCAAGTTCAAGGCAGCTTCGCAAGACTGTGTCTCAAAGTGAAATATAGAAAGAATTGAGACGTAGCTCAGCTGAGAGTGCCTGCCTAGTGTATGTGAGGCCCTGGGTTTGATACCCAGTCCAAGAAAAGTGATGTTAATTACGTTTTGATGTGTGTGTAGTTCCAACAGTTCTGTAGTAAGTTTGGACAGTAGAATGTCACATGTGAGAGGAGTGTAGTACACTGTCACAAAAAGAAATCTAAGTTTCACAGTATTATATATCTAGGAAGAGGCCTGTAGTGAGTGGACCTCGGGAAGTCAATTGGCATCCCAACAACTTTACAGCCATACTTTTATTTACATGCTAATTTGAAAGTTCCAACAGGCTTATTAAATGGGGGCTCCGATAATGTTTCTTTCAAGGATAATTTATCAAATTGCACAGCTCTGAAGGAGGATGGCTGATTTATTCCTGAAACAGCACACAGATCTGCAACTTCCTTACGTTTTATTACAAACATAATTATATTTCCATTGTCAAATGCAGAGTTTGTGCTCATTTCAGGAGCAGCTGGCCTTGTCCTTTATGTACTTAGTAAAATTAATTTATTGCTGTCTTACATGCAATCTTTGTGCCGTTAAATTCAAGGGAGATATTGAAAAAATACTCTCTAAACCGCTGTCCCTTTTGGATAAATTTCACTCATCATGAAGGTAGAAACAGTTTTTGCTAAATTACTTTTAGTTCTAATGGCTGAAATTTTGATGACTTGTATATTGTAAGATGCCTGTCATTTTAATATGATATACAATAATAGAAGATAATAAGTTGCCAGCAGACCTTTCCCTTAGGATGATATTACAGTGGTTGTTAATTAGTTACTATACACAAGTCCTAAAATCTGACCCCACATCAAAGTACTTGTTATTTTATATACAAAGATACGTGCATGTGGTGTTTTTTAAAATACTAGAAGAAAACAATTCTTGTCGTAAGTGTAGGACAGAAACTATACAGAATTGATTTGACCAGTGCTGAATGCTACTGATAATCATTACTTTTGTTTTGTTCAGTAAAATTACTTAGTATACACTTAGGTGGATGCTTGATTAAGAGACAATTTAAAAATAAAGTTAAAACATAATAGTACAGTTTAGGGTTTTTTTTAAGGTACGAGGAGTCAAACTCAGGACTTACGCTTGACAGAATGGAGCTATGCCACTGAAATGTATCCCCAGCCCTACAATTTAGTTTTAGTGAAAAAGTATGATGTGATCCGGGCCAAGTGGTCCACTCCTATAATCCAAGCTATTTTGGGAGACTGAGGAAGGAGGATCACAAGTTCAAGGCCAGCCTGGGCAACAGGGACATAGTGAGATCCTATCTCAAAATAAAACAGAGGTAGGGATGGAGGTCAGTGACAGAAAATCCCTGGGTTTGACTTCCTAATACCATAAAAACAAAAACTAACAACAAGGCGTGGTATGAAACACACAATCCTCATTTCAATGCTAGGCATTGGTGTCTCGGAAGTGCTCTGCAGTGACATTTTCATTACTATAGATCTGGAAGGGACTCAATTCTACCAACAACCATCAAACCAACTTGTTAGCCACAAGGCTTAAGAGCAAACTTAATGTTCTGTATCAGACCTTCCTCTTTTCCTTCAAACTCCAAGCAGCAGTTTCTCAGCTACTCTCCCCAGACACTGGGCCACGGGCATGCTAAGTAAGTACACTATCACTGAGGTACATCCCCAGCTCACCTCTCTTTTTAAAAATTCGATCTAGTCTTTTTCTTCGTCCTCTGTTTTAATAAGCTTGCCACACTTCAGTAAGATGCCTTCACAGGAACAAGCCAGGAGAGTAGGCTGGGGAGCAGCTGGTGCCCTCAGTTTGTATGGAGCATGCCCTGAAGGCTGCCGCAGACAGGTTTCAAGGTGCTATTATCAGTATTTGCCAAGTTTAAAAGATTCGCAACAAACACTTTCATTTGTTCCAGAAGTAACCATCATGGAACACTTGAAAATATTCTATAAGCCAATCTGGAAGCTTATAAAGATTGATTTAGGAGGATGACACTACATTTCTCCCGGTGCGGCTAAAAGCTGTGGAGTCTATAGTTAAAGCTTCTCCCAGCCGTTTCTGGTCTGTTCACAAAGATCCAAAGCCCTGGTGTCTGTTCCAGTGTGCAGGGAGAGTGTGACCCCCCACACGGCTGCCCCTTCCAGCCAGCGCTTCCTCATGGGAACTAAATCATCAGAGAGCTCTAAGGCGACCCTCAGTGTCCCTTATCTGAGCCGAGGCTGTGATGTCACCTGTGAAAGTGCGCCGTGCAAAGCGCCACGCAAAGGGCGGTGGCTGTGGTCATCATTCCCACAGTGATTGTGTCTCTTATCAAGGCTGGCTGCGAAGCTCTGGCTAATCTTTCACCCGTCTCATCTTTGATTCCCCTTCACCTACCGGGCTCTCAGAAATACTTTCAACTAAATGAAAAAACTTCTTCCTTGCCCACAGATGAATGGGCACTGAGCTTCCTGCAGGAAT